TTGAAGTGTTTCTATGGAAGTACTAATCTTATTCCTTAACCTTACTCCTAGTAATTTCTGGGTTTACAAATCTTCAATAGATCTCATGTTTGAATTGATTTTTTTGAAAAGTTCTTGAATGACTGGTGTAGGTGGTGTTGGTGTACAATGTGCTGTTGTGTGGAGATTCTAGTCACCAATAGAAGACTGGGCTTCATTCAAGGCCTTTCACTCAAGACCACCTTCTCTGCGTGCTGTCCAAGTGGACCCAGCGGGGCTGAATACTTACCACTCGCCCAAGTGACCTTTTGTTAACACCGCAAGGTTGCCCAGGTCACCCGAGAAGAGTTTGAAGAAATTTCTCTATGAAGCCTTCTCTGGCCAACTCAGAGACCAGGTTCACCGCCAGCTGCCATCATACCTATTAAGGAAAACCGTTGGGATCATTAAACTGTAAATCAGAGTCTGGGACTTGACCAGGTGTTGAGACACAGCATTTCGGCAGTGGTGAGTGTTCTCATGAACATTTGTATGTTTGTTTGTTTTTCTTTGTTCTTGTTTGCATATTTTCATTCATAATTTGATTATCTGATGTCTAGGTTGTTTTCCCATACTTTGATTATCATATTTAAGCTTATAAAATCTTTAAAATTGTGTTTTATTAGAGGATAGACCATATGCAAATGACTCATTAGTATTCGTGGTTTTGCACCAATCACGTTTGTTCTCTGTTGAGTGTGCTGTAGGTCAGTTTAAATAACTTATATCTCTGTTGTTTTTTATATTTTGTTTTCATTTTTTCAGCATTTTAATCTGGACATTATGTAGAAAAAGTGTTGAACATAAAAACTATCATTACTAATAAATGTTTTTATGGGGTTACCGTTTTTGAGAAGTTTAGCTGATTTAGTGGGGTCCCTTACAATCTGATCCAGGTTAAGGTTAAATATATGTTCTCCTATATCACTGTATACTCTGATTTTGCGGTTGTAACAATTATGTTAAGAATCCCTCACCTCAATCACCTGGAATAACTTGCGCTGATCAGTACATAATATTGGAACTGTTAAGATAAGCATTATCTGATGGAAATGGTGACTGATCTGTTCCGGGCAATACTGTACCAAAATATTATAATGTATTAATCATAATTATTCTGGCTAAGTTTAAACTTGACTCAGTTGCTTGAAAGCAGATTACATTACGCTGTATTAAGTTACTATGGAGGTTTCTTCTCTGCAGCTAGTCTGAGCTCCAGAGCAGGTTAATAACCAGGCTAAGATTAATCCTATTGATTTATGTTAGTTTCATTATCAATGCTACTTGAAATTACAGTGTTTTACAGTCACTCCATGTTATTGGTTATTTACATCTACTTTCCAACTATTAGCAATAAAAATAAGTATAGGGGCTATGATTAATTGTGTTGATCACACTTTTTCTATAGCATTAAAAGCCAAAATAAAATATAAGAATCAGTCTGACGAGGATAACTGTAACAGTCAAGCCACCCTCACCTGCCTGTGTTCTTTCAATATCTTGTTGGCCCTGTATGAGAAGAGAATAATATATACACCACTGTAGTTCCAACATTAGATGACTGTTTAACAGACCTAAACACACCTCTCACAATAGAAGAGTTTAATCTTTGTCAAAGCTCTGAAACACACAGACGTCAACAATCAGTCTTTCAATCTCAACAATGGTGACGAGGAAAAAAATTAAAATCAGCCCAGAACAACACAAAACACTACTGAATTATTACACCCCAAAAACAACATCAAATAAAGCAGAGAAGGAAACTGTAAGAACTTTAAGCTGCATAGTTTACTCATGCTGCAGTGCATGCTGGGAGTTTTCTACTATGCACCCAGCATGCATTGCGAAATAAATGACTTGTGCAGCTTTTTACTTTTAGCAACCATAGTTGAGGTTCATATCCTGACTCTTGATGTCTGTGTGTCTTCATGTGCTGCTGGAGCGCTCAAGGTTTTGTGTATAAAAATCTAATTATTAATTTTTATGAATTCCTGCTTGTTGTCCCAAACGACGTCACGTAAGCCTGCAATATTTTTACTTAATTCATGGAACTCCTCCAGTTATTTCTATAAAAAGTAAATATTTAAAGCTGCTCGTCACCTTTCCTGCTTTAACCAATGAGTTTCAGAAACACTGAGATAGAAGAGTACAGGATCAAGAGCTCCACTAAAGCAGCCGCTGATCTCCATGATGGTGAGGGCAAATTAAACATTTCAATAAAAAATATCAAAACTCCTTTAATGATCAAATATTTGTAAAAGTCAAACTGTGATCAGTGAAGCTGCGAATGCTGTTTGTGGAGGTGTTTAATCCTGTTTTATTCAGCTGGTTTGCTGTAGTGCTGCTGTGTGTGTTTGTCTTGTTCTCTCAGTGATTGAGCTGATCTACTGCAGCTGTTCATCAGTGTCTGCATTCAGTCAGAACTGTGCTCATCCACACTGCCTAGTGCACTGAACTAATCAGCTGATTTAGGGACTAGTGAATGAGGGTGTATGGTGAGATTTCAGACACTCTGATTACTGTCTGGAAAATAAAGGTTAGATCTGATGCAGTATTGTGTGTGTTTTGTACAGAAATGACCTGTTCATGTTTTACAGTGAACTTTCAGATCAAATTTGTAGCATTCAAATGTTGAAAATCCTTTACTAAATCCTGACTGAATAATAACAACCACCACACTTTCAAACTCCTTAATTGATGTGAAAGGTTTTATGTATATTATATTAAGGAGTTTAATGTGTCAGCATGAGCCAGAAATATACCAGAAGTTTAAAGACAGTACCACCTAGTGGTCAAGAGGTATTGCATTTTTTGCAAAAATAGTCTAAATTTCCTGATTCTTACACTTCCACATTTTTTATGTTGCCTAGAAAACATGCATGACCTGCCAGCTCAAAGTGTTAAGTAAATTCTTTGCCTACACTGAAGCTGTGGGTTCGAAGCCAGCATAAGGCAATATTGAACTTTTAGAGGCTACCAATTATGTAATCTGTTTTTTAAAGATTTGATCCAATCCCTTATCCAAAATCCTAGTGGATTACTTTTGAAAAACCGGCCCAGGAGTAGAAATATTGGATGATGGATAAACGTTGTGTGTTCTTTGCGTCTCACTGAGCACTGTAGCACCTTTACAATCTGTAAATAAAAACACACACATATTGTGCACATGAATAACATTTGGCAAATTGAGTTTGTTTTTTGGGCTGCATGTGCTGAGAGTGCATGTGTGATTTAGCACTTTATTCATAATTCTGACAAGTTTTTGGATGGGTTGTGTTTCATGGTTTAATAAATTGGAGCAAGCTTTCAGAAATGGTGTTTAAGCAATTGAGGAAAAATGCAAGTCTGTGCAAATAAACTCATTTTAGAATGAGCCTGCTTTATCAAAGCTCTTCTAAATGGGCTTGGTTGTTTGGTTTCTCTCTATCCTCAGGGCTTGAGTAATAAGTGTGCAATGATAATTGACATTAAGCGTAAAAGTGTAAAGCACAAATAATGATTATAGAGGTTCAGACTGTATTGGAAAACTGTATTAGTCTAAAAGAGATTCATAAGGTACTCTTAATTTTCAATGCCAGGAATAGATTTGTAGACTGAAAGCTGTTCATCTGCACATGCGGTCATGTAGTTTATGCTATCGGGGTTGTTTTGTCAGCTGTTTTCGGATGAGCTGTTCAGAAAAGTTACAGATTTGTGAAAATTTGATGTCTCATACTACATGTTCAAGGTTTCATGTGTTTATTGATGGATGTACAGTATGTTGATTTAGAAATTATGTAACTGATATTGGCATAAAATGACATTTATGATATTTTGGAGGATTTGCTTATTTTAATAACTATGTTGTTTGCCGTTTGTCACAGCCACATTCAACTCTGATATCTTGCCCACACAGCCAACAGCAAAAGTGTTCCTTATGCCAGACGTGGCCACTGGCCTCCTGCAGGAGCATGTCAGAGAAGATCAGCTGCAAAAGAAAAGCAGAGACAGAGAATTAATTGATGTTTATTTCACACACATGCCACATAATATAGTCCTCAAATGTACAGTTGAAGTCAGAATTATTAGCCCCCATTGGATTTTTTATTTCTTTTTAAAATATTTCCCAAATGATGTTTAACAGATCAGGGACATTTATGAATATCTTGCCTAATTACCCTAACTTTACCCTAATTACCCTAGTGAAGCCTTTACATGTCACTTTAAGCTGTATAGAAGTGTCTTGAAGAATATCTAGTCTAATATTATTTACTGTCATCATGACAAAGAGGAAATAAATCAGTTATTAGAGATGAGTTATTAACACTATTAGACATGTGTTGAAAAGATCTGTTAAACAGAAATTGAGGGGGGAAAAAAATAAACAGGGGGCGAATAATTCTGACTTCAACTGTACATCATGTTTCTTTTTACATTGATAACTAAATGTACGATATGCCACTGTCCATCTGTAAGAATTTTTGGCAATGTGTACTAATTTACTCTGGGTTATTGGTCAATATAGGAGATTGTGGAAGTTTATCAGAGGTTAGTTATTAATATTCACAAAGCATCAAGGTTAAAAGTAGCTTTCTCAGCACAGAGCTCTATTAGGACAGCAAGTCAACTGGCAAATACACACATGGGTTGGAGCTTGAGAATCTCTCAGGAGAACTCATATTAAGAATCTCAAGCAAAGCGCTGCAGTCACCAGTTCAGTGGTTTATTTCAGATCATGCATCACATTTTCCCAAACATGATGGATTGCACACCATATTGAATACGCCATACAACAACATACAATACTCCATATACAAATCTATGCTGATGCCAACATCATGTAACCCAGGGGTGTCAAACTCAGTTCCAGGAGAGCCACGCACAGTTTAGTTCCATGTGCTTCACCACAGCTACCTGTTCAAACAAGCCTAAAGAACTCAGTCAGGGGTGTTTAATTAGACTTGGAGCTAAACTGAGCAGAGCTGCAGCCCTCCAGGAACTGAGTTTGACACCAGTGATGTAACCCATCTTCCCTATCAGCAGAAGACCTTTCTCTTTAGCCTGGAGTGGAGCAGAAGTGGAGACCCAGATACACGGTTACAGAAATACGTTTATCCACCGGTCACATGTTTAACACTTGACAGCTTACAACTGAGTTTAAAACAATTTAATAGTTACAAAACTACAATTAAGAAACAAATATTTTCTTTTTTTAACTGGATTAGAATATTTGTACCTGTCAGTTTACAGTATACTGATGCTGTTTTTCTGGGCTTTATTGGTGATAATGGTCAGGCATGTTGGACCAGTATTGCCTTTTTAGCTCAAGTAGAGGACAGAAACTAACCAGACAGTAATGTGTGAACTGTGGAGCGGGACACAACTAAAAAACCAAAAACAAATGCTTTTTATTTGACAAGTCTACTTCTTTTGTTGTTGCTCTTATTCTTGCCATAATAATATATTATCTTTGTAGAGCAGCACATGTTCTGTCGTCATTAATAATTTAATACATTTTAATAGGTAAAAGCAGGAGATGCATCAAAGTTTGATTTTTAAAAATCTATTGAATGTTGATGATCTTAATAATCATTAAAATAATTTAGAAAAATAATTTGTGTAAAACTACTGAATGATATTAATGACATGACGCAGTCCAGAAACTTTCTCCTTCTCCATTTATCCACACTGTAAAGTCCTTCTGTGGCCTTGTAGATTTCATTAATATTAATATATGTAGACTTTATTTAATAAAACTAACATCCTAATTTTAGGGCATTTTTTGCTTTGAAATGACTTAATGTCTGTAATAAAATCTAATCAACTATACTATAAGAATTTAGCTATTATATTTGAATAATTTCAAAAAGAGAAAATATTGGGTAAATCCAACATGATTGAATTGAGCATTTTCAGACTAGCCAGAGGGCTTAAGTCAGTATGTTTAGCTGAGGAAAGGCTGAATTTTAAAGGATGAAGAGTTTGCCATTCACCAGACCATTGAGACAAGATGGCACCGACTCCTATGTTGGCCACATTGACTTCCACGATGAAGGGCTGCATGGGATCTGGGTGTCTGAGGATGGGTGCTGAGGTAAACTGTTGCCTGAGCAACTCGAAGGCTCGGTGGACATCAGTGTTCCAGCTCTTTTTGTTTGCAGAACACTTTGATTTTGCTCATTATATATCATTTTACAGCTGTTTTTATTTTTGATAAATATGGTCATTATGGGGGATTGTGTGTAGAATGTTGAGGAAATCAAGCAATTCACTCCATTTTGGAATAAGACTGAAGCACATGTGGAGAAAGTCAAGCTCCATTAACACTTTACAGATGCTCTGTATGTAGCACCTAAAATGTGGACCATTAAAGTGATATATTCTACTCAAAGGATCCATATTTTGATTAAATATTGAGTATATTGCACAATAATACCGGCCATAGAGATGACTGGTATGGCCATTCAGGCACTGGACAATTCACTTAAATGGTTGTAAGAGTACTTCTTTTTAATTTTCTTTACATATAATTTATATTCCCCTCTGAGCTACAGTATATACTCATGCTCAGCACCTTTACTTCAGATTTTGTCAAACATATATTAATATATTAAGCATATGCATGTGTAGATGACATGTTTTATTTCAGTGTGTCCAGTAGTATTGCAAGTTAAATTAATCCACACAGAGCCTAAGCTCGACCAAAATAACATCTACAAATGAGAAGGATTTACGTGTACCTCATCACAGCCCAGGCAGCGAGGTCTGATGCTCTGGCAGTAATGGCGTCCACACAGCAGTGCTCCTTCCTTCCAAAAGTAGATAAGATCCACCAGAGCCTCACCACACTCACCGCACACAAAGCAGGCGGGATGCCACAGTCTCTCGTATCCAGCCCTGTCAGCATACACCACAGGTTCATCCATAGCTGCCAACTGGCCACATCCACTGCAATACTGAGAAACAGACAGACGGGAGTAGAGGAACACATCAACGGCAGGATAATAAGATGAAGCGGTGAGATTACAATTACTTTAAAAGATTTGAACAGAACATCTGGAATAAATCCTCTCTGATCAGTGTGGATCATTTCATCAATAATCAATAGACATACTAATAGATTTGCTGGCATAGACACTGTAACCTATAGAAACTGCCAATAGTAACTTAATGGACAGTTTATTAAATTCAATCTAGAAGGCATGACTGCTAATTCAATTCAAGATGACAACGCTGAAAATGACCATCAATAAAACACTGCTGCCATCTACTGTCTATAGAGTGTGAATGTGAGCAGTATGAACAGAACTCGGATGTTTTACATGCAGGTCATCTCAAGTGACCGACCTGCGTCATTCATAAATCACGGGATACTGTAGCATCCATGGGACGTGCACTTCAGCATCTCGCCAGTCATCCGGGTGCTTCCGGCATACTGTTTTTCAAATTCTATGAATTCAGACACTCTACTCGGCTTGCATAGTCTTTTTAGTGTACTATATAGTATGGAAGTATGCGATTTTGGACGCAGTTTTACAATAAATTTACTTCAGCTAGACTTTAAACGCAATTGTAATGCTAGACATTCATAAATAGATTATACATCATTAACATTTTCTCCACTGCACTCACATATTCAGTCTCATTGCTGACAGGAGACTCTATTGCTCCATCAGGGGTTTGCTCTGTTAGGGGTGGATCTGGCTGTTCTTGGGAAATCTTTTCATTCCTCTTGGTAGTACTTTTTTCTCCAGGTAGGGCAACTTCTCCTACTCCTAAGGATTCCTCCTTGTAAGATTTCACAAACTGAGCCATAACTTTCAGCTCAGCCTCAGACAGGCTGTGGCAGTACGCAGGGTCATGATCATAGGCAGGAAGCTGTCTCGTCAGTTGCTTGTGGCGATATAAAGATCCTTCAGTGCCAGCCACAGGTCGTCTTTCCTCAGGCAGAAGACTCATGTACAGCATTGCCTGGCAGACAGAATGAAGAGAAGAGCATGTGTGTTAAAATGCACAAACACAGACCTTTCTTTCCAAATCAGCAGAACGACGTCTAAATCAGTCTAAATCGTGTTCAATTTAAATAGTCAAAGGTTCACTTTGCTCAAAGTGCCAAAACATCTCCGGCCCAGGCTCATTGGAAATAAGTGTGTCAGCCTATACTTTTGCAAACTGATGTTGCTCCCACGGTTTAATTAGTTGGACACTTCCACTGCCCCCCTAACAAGCTAGCTAAATTCATGCAGCTCAACACCGGCCCACACCAGACACTTACATCCCACCTACATACCACATGCATTGATGGCACTTGGGCGGTCCGCTCCTGTTTGCCAGATGTGGACCACAATTAAGCCATAGCAAGATCACATATCAGCCACAATGTAAAGGTTCGAGATATAAACAGTGTAAAAGTGAATTTTAACGGTAATACACTGAGAATGCAGACTACAGGAGTGGGCTGTAAGAACACACTATAATGGCTGACAACCCAGCGGCCAGCATTTCTCTGCAAGTTTACAACAAAATTATAATAAATAATTATATTATAATTATAAATTCTAATATAATTAAGTATATTACGGCCCAAATCTGCGGTTTGACCCCTATAATCATCACCCCTTACTGTTCTAAACACTCACCAAAAGTGCTCCGTATGTTTTAATGAGTCATGAAAGACCAGAACACATGTTGAGCTGTTGACAGACAAATCTGTGTCCCGCGCTGCTATAAACACTGTGAGGACACATATCTCTCACTACAAGGTGAAAATTGGTTGTTTTTGTGTTATGTCCAGCAAATTCATTCTTCTGGTTTGAAACTAATATATAAAGCCGCATCATGGTGATTAGATCCTGGTGTGTAATTCAGCGGGGAGACTTGCTGTCTGTACCTGCGAGTGCATCGAGACGTCTCGGAGTGTGCTGCATTCATTCATGAGAAAGACTTGGCCCAAACCAATCAATCTTTGTGCACCTCAATGAGAAGGTAGTGCTCGTCTTGAAGAATCTTTTGCGATTGACTGAGCTTAACCCAACCAACAGGGTTTTTAAAGGCAAATGTAAAAGGAAATGCAAGTTTTACCATGATTTTTCTTGTTTTGGGGACCCACCCTTCACAGGTAGCAAAACCAAGTGCTCTGCATCAACTATAACACACTACAAAGTGAACTGATCACAGCAGAAAGTTTGCCTGAAGATAAACATTTGAGCCCAACACATTCAATCACAAATCATAGACACTCTTCCACCCTGTGTGCTGTTGGGAATGTTTTCATCCACTCTGGAAACACTTCGAGTCTTAGGCCCAATCCCAATTCCATTTTTGCACCTCTTAAAATTTTACCCCTAAGAAATGAGACAGCACTACAGGACCAGCACATGTCATCATGATCGCTTACTTCATAACCCGATGGTGAGTGCGGCAGCTGTATATTATTTGGAGTTTATCTTTAGGAAATTACTGAAGACATACATCATGTTTTATCACAGGATCACTGGTATTTAAAACCCTCAGTAGAATTTTCATAGTTTAAGAAGAACAAGTTGGACATTGGAGGTCTTGTCCCCCTCGATGCCACTTCAAGTCAAAATGCAATAACTGGATTAAATAGACAAATGGACTGTTCAGAAGGCTAAATAAAACCAGTCAGAAAGCTGAAGATGAACAGGCTTTAGTGGGCACATAGGCAGAATGCTTTTAGTGAAAATAAAGGGCTTAATTCCAGGACAAGGTCCAATACCACACAGCGACTCCCTGCTGAAAATAGAGCTTTGTGCTAGATAGGCAGGCTCTGCGGGATGTTGTACTCCCTGTTGGAGATAGCAGAAGCAGTCGGCACATTCTGGAACCATAATAAACATTTCAAATCCCCAACCTAAACTGGCATCCTTAATTCCACCTTTCTACATGGTGATGATGAAGATCCCATCAAATATGTGAGATCAGTGGGGCAAATTCGCTTGTGGCTTTTTCCATTAAGTCAAAGGTGAGGTATGTGCCCAGCGACATTATTAAGCAAGACTCTTCCATACCATTGAGTCATGAAGAGGACTATTTTTAACTCAGCTTGCCGACATTTGCCAACAAAGGCCTATAAGACTTGTAAAACATATCAGACTGGCATTTGACCAAAAACACCAGCGCTTTTATTATCGGACTTTAAAGATAATTCTACACAGCGCGAGCTGAAACTGCGGCCTACTCTGATAAAAGCAGCCAATCACATGACCTGAAACTTCCTGGGCACAAGACGTCTCTTAACAACTCCTGAAGACTCTGCAGAAACTAATGCTGTGAAACAAGCAAGTCCTGCAGAAAGGGAAAACTGGGAAGATCCAGAACATCAACAAACGGAGCGAGTTTCTATCAATGAGCTTTCGTTTCACACTGAACAACATTCAAGGACTTGGCATTAATATTACATGTGAAGTCAGACGAATGAATTCTGCTACATTAAACTGCACTTAAGATATGAATGTATAGTACAGTAATGTTGTGATGTAACGTGCAGTAATGACATCTTCACGAATGCTAATTCTGCATAGTTTCAGTGAACTTTCGAATGGTTCTCTTACCAGTTTCTGGGTGAGGCCTGTTGGGGCCCAGTCATATGTGACCGTGTTGAACGTTGGGTCTTTACGAGAGACCACTGGGTTGGTGACAATCATGCGATTACGTTTATAAACCCTTGTGCCATCTCCTCCCTTGACCTTGGCTGTGAGGTGGGTATAGCGGGAGTCTGCCAGCAATCTTCCTACCTTGAGGTCATCTTCATTGTTGGAAATGAATGCGTGTTCGTCCTGACTGCATTGGCACTTTACGCAAGCTTTTCTGAAAAAATACAAATAAAAAAATATAATAATCAGTTTTTAATAGCACTTCATTATTATTATTTTTAATTAATGAAATGATTACGCCCTGCTTGTGTTTAAATTAAGTTACTTAAACCTTCAGCACCAATCAAGCCACTATTTTGGATTCCCAAGGACTATAAAGAACACCATATTAGACCAACAATCAAACGTTTTCAGCGTTGTATTGCATCATCATCATCATCATCATACACTACATGATGGTTTTCTCCAACCTGAAAGACATGTAGTGGTAAATTATCACAATCTAGACTTTATTAATACACTGGACTTAAACATATTAAGTTTGCATCAAGTTATTAAAACGTTTGCAATTTTTAGTTTTCACCTTTCATTTCTAGACATCAACCAGAATTTAATTACGCTTTAATTAATTGAGGCCTGGAAACCGGATACCTCAAGTTCTTGTAGTGGTTCTGTATGCTCTGACATTAGTGTTGCATGAGCTACGTATAACCAAGGCCACAGCAGAAACAAAGAATTTACAAAGAAACACCAACATACACAACTACAGTTATCACACACACACACACACACACACACACACACACACACACACACACACACATCTTCTCATTTTTATATTTTCAGTCAAGAGAATAAATTACCTCCAGGAATGTGGCTGGAATCCAGGGCAGATCCCTTTACATGTCAGACACGCTGCACCCTTTCCTGCTGGCAGTGGCCCCTTCGACATCTGGGGAAAAAAGAGGAAGAGGATTATTCACAGAACAGCAGTACGAGGAACTCGCCGAAGAAGAGGAATTGACCAAAACTCTGACAGTAAGTGGTGAATGAGGTTCAAGAAGACGAACCAATAACCACCACTAAAAAAAGAAAACCTTTAACTAGCAAACCAAGAACAAACTCTTACTGTGAGTTCAGAAATCAGAAGGAAACAGTCTTTAAAGGGTACTGGTGAGAAATCAGTGTAAGACACAGATCAGAGCTGCAGATGACGCTCACTCACATCTCCAACAGCCTTCATAATATCTGGCTGTTGATCACAATTATCTGATCCAAATGGCTGATCTTTCATCAGAGATTACTATAGAGCAAAAATAGCAGCACACAACAATAAACAGACCACAACAGACCATATGCAGCCATGGTGGTAAAGCCTCTCAGATCTTCTGAAATGGCAGCTATATTTGACACCGTGATGAGAGAGTGTTGGCACCACTCACTAACTCAAACGTTAAAATCACAAAGATAACTCTGAATCAATATAGCGATCAGTAGAAGCTGAAGCTTTCGAGAAACATGTACAGTAGAGCAAACCGGTCAACACTGAGATGTGAAAATACGGACATCAACTAGCTGACAGAACACATAGCAAACATCTGACAGCAGGCAATAAATGAAAAGGTGTAGCCTATTAAAATCAATGAGCTATACAATTAACTCAAGTTATAAACTCTCGTTCACTTTCTGGTGTTTAAAATTAAACACGCAGGACGGACATGCATATTATTCAGTGTATTGGTTGTTTAAACAGACTAATTTCCAAAGGGTTTACTTTTGCTCCTCTTACAGAAGCTGATCTGGGCACTAGAGCCATGTGATTAATTACAATCGAATCGTCATTTTAAACATAGCGCTTAGTTAAATCGCAAGCTGTTATATGAATTATATATGCATTTAATTTCCCCTGCCCAGAGCAAAGGTGTCACTGCCGTCTGTGTGTGACAGTCGTACTAGCCAATTGAGTGAGCACACCCTCCAATCAGAATTGCACAACAGAACTGTGTGGAACGCCCACGATAAAGACAAACAAACAGGAAAGCGCAGACCAGTGGGATGATGATGATGATGATGATGATGGTGATGTCTGCCACTTCAGAAACATCAATAGACGAATCAATATAAAAGACAAACAGCACATCTGTAAAATGGGAATATCTTGGTTTCATAGTCAGACACTGATCAAACTCTGGTCATCTGTGAGAATTGTTGCCACAGCCTGAAGAAACACAACAAGCAGCACCCAAAACAGCCCCACAGGCGGCTACATTAGAAGCGTCTTGCTGAAGTCAGCTGAAAGTCCTGCCACTGCACAACAGCAAAGTACAGCTTCAGTGCTGTTTCAGCCATGTTACATGTAAACGTGTGACACAAACCAAATAGAGGACGAAACACACTTTCTTCTGTTCTGCCCCAAACACACCACAGCTAGAGAAATATTTAATACATGGATCATTCATTCATTTATTAATTTAAAGAGAAGATGAATGACTAGACTAGCTGTAAAACATGTATACACCCTACACACCAGAAATATGGTTCATGTAAATTCATGTGTCCAATTTAAATAATTTAGACTTTTGTTATTATTGTTATTATTATTATTATTATTTATTTGTTAAGTTCTTTTGTTTTTTTGTCATTTATCTATCTACTGTATTATTATTATTATTATTATTATTATTATTATTATTATTATTATTATTGACAGTGTTAATATATTACATATTTGAAGTGTTGTGGCAATACTGTACTGAATATCATGCCAATACAGCAACTTGAACTTGTATCTTTAAAACAACAACAAAAGTTGTTAATATGTTTATAATATATAAATGGAAAAAATCCAATTGTCACTGGATACTAGAAACGAATCAAGAAATAAACATACAGCACTATAAAAATATCACCGTAACATGAGATGCAAATCAAAATGTAGACTGTTACACTGCTTATTATTCGTTTATCATTACTGTTTAATCCTAAACTGTTGATTGATAAAATACTTATTATTGGTTTTATTATAAATTAATAACTGTTATATAGCTGCTGTTAATCAGAGTCTCCGTTCACTATTGCAGTCATTTGTTTTCATATGCTTTGAGAGAGAGAGAGAGAGAGAGAGAGAGAGAGAGAGAGAGAGAGAGAGATTTCCTTTTGCACATATATCTTTATCAGATGGCATTAGCAGTGACCGTTTCCTTGTTGTTCTTGGATTTGTCAACAGTCCCGTTTTAACGCCCCGTTTTGGGAGGATTTTCCAGAAAGCCGGACGCCAAACTGACTGCAAATGAAGCTGGTGAACTTCACAATCGCCTTACTGTTGTATATTAATGTTCGGACATGGCAACCGAGGCACAAGCGCTTCCCACAAAGCTTCTCTCAGTTTGAGAATTTAGGCGAAAACTGAACACCAAACGCGGTATTTCCTGAAGCTGAACAAAGCCGAGAACCACAACTAACTTTGCTGGAGGTTTAACAAGAAACTCAGTGAAAACACGCATTCACAAGCCGAGTTCCGTTTGGGCTTGAGGTCAGACACATACCGTCACATGGCCAACATCTACTCTGTTAGAAAAGAAGGACCTGCACTGAAGTTACGGCATGTTTAGGCTGATTTTTGTTGTGTGTTCGTGTTGTGTGTTGGTTTGGTTTTGCGATCTCCGTCTGCCTGCTCACCCTGACTCACGGTTTGATTCGTGCAGGAATGAGACATTACATCACCGGTGTGTTAGACAAAAGCAGCAATATTGTATCTCAGTGTTATTTTCTGCTATATAGATGTAGAGGTGCTAACAAATAAACATTAGTTCAGCTGAATAATCTAGTGCTGTTCAACAATAAAGACCCTTTACTGTAAACTCGTGCTTGTCCTTATGAAGATGCTCGTAGCATCTGTTCATGTAAATAGTTGAAAATGCTAACACATCACTTACCTTCTGGAGTTTATTCCGCGTTATGGTGAGGTGAGGTGCAGCTCCTGCCGCTCTCCACAGCTGAAGTGCTCGGTGTGCTCACAGTTCTGACTGACTGACAGTAATGCCCGCGCTCTGATGCAGGAGGGAGACATTACCTCACTCGTGAATGTGAGCTGAACACACAGAGGCTCACGTTTCAACATTTTTCTTGTGTTGTTCCTCAGGACACTCTCTGCATTTACATATTTAGAAGCAGCCTAAAGCATGAGTGTCAACCCTGCTGCTGGAAACCTGCCTTCCCGCACACTTGAGTTGCAATATCAATCACACCTGCCTGCCTGGAATGATCAAGTGCTGTTCAGGTCCTCATTAATTGGCTCACGTGTGTTTGATTAAGGTTGGAGCTGAAGGTAGACCTCCAGGAACAGGGTTGAGCACACCTAAAGCAAAGGCGTCAGTCAGAGAACGGAACAAAAATGTTAGAAATAAATAAAGCAACACCTATAAACATTACTCATATTGTTTAGCATCTACTGATAACCTCACCTGACACTACAGATCCCATCACAATCTGGTAAATGTTACTGTAACAATTATTAAAAATGCAATCATAGGCATAAATAATTAAGGATGCAACATTTATTTTCCAGTCATGCTTAAATTATTATAAAATTGTCAAGGAAGTAAGTCTCCTCTGTTTATGTAATAAAATATGATCTTGTGCATGCAATCTAATTACATCATTTCTAATTACATATTAATAAGTAGTGCCCTGTCAACTCACACCAACCCTAAGCCCAGCCTAACAGTCTACCTATAATCTGATGAGGAATAGCTGGCATGTAGCTGCAGTGTAACTTACATTCAACAAACGGCCCATCAAAACAAAGTGTGACCCAACAAACACACATGTAAAAAGGATACAACTATGTAACTGAAGTATAAACACAGCTAAAGAAAGGATACTAGAGGCAGAGAGGTGTTTCGTGGCTCTGTATTTTTGATAGAAAACACATCAAGTTTATAAATCTTCATTTGTTTACAGAGACGTCACGTCATGAGCACTTGAATGTACCCTTGTTCTTCTGCACATGATGTGCAAGAGCTTAAGAGACAAATAACACCTGTTCTGCATAACTGAACACGTACTCCAGCGGTTCTGATGTCTGTACAGTAATCAGCATCGAGCATTATCTGCTAACACACTTTCATTTCTTCTACAGGCACTGAGATTCATCCTGAATGTTTTAAATGGCTCCGTGTAAAAACAGAAAGACAGAAAATAATACATTTACTAGACAAGCACTAGTCTAATGTAGCAAAACAATGCCATTTCTGATTTTATTGTCAGTAAAGGTCAAACATATGTGGTGTACTGCTGTAGTTTACGTGTGATTGACCTGCAGAAACACCACAACCAGTAACTGCATAACTCAGCACATGAGCCCTCTCTCAGCATGCTGACTGACACCGCGCTACTCTTTCATCACTCTGGCACTTTGTGAGGGTGTGAGAGTTCTGTGTTTGTTTCACATGATGATTCGTGGTTCAGGAACAGAGTCTGTGATAGATTTATGAGGCAGAACGTTGGCTCCGTTGATGTAGAGTTCATCATTCACAATCACATCTTCACCCAGAACCGTAACGTTCTCCATTCGCACCTGAAAAACAATCACATTACCCAAATGAGTCAAAGAAATCCCAAATAAGACACTTACTAGCCAAACCAGAGTGAAGAGCAGAGGTCTGCACACATTATATAGACAGATAGACAGATAGATAGATAGACAGATAGATTTCCTCAACATTCTACACACAATCCCCCATAATGAGCATGTGGAGAGAGTTTGAAATTGTAGTAAATGTAATAAAAATAAAAGCTGATAAATCAGATGTACATCAGTATTGACAGGCTTTGGCGTGAAGCTCTACATGGAGCTCAGGTTCATTCTGTCTCCACTGATCATTCTGGAGATGTTCCAGCAGCTTCACTGGAGTTCAGCTGTGCTCAATTCAGCTGATGGACATGATCTGAACAGGCTACACCTGTCTATATAAGGGCCCAGGGTTGACAGTGCATGACAAAGCACAAACCAAGCATGAAGACAAAGGAACTGTCTGTAGAACTCCGAGACAGGATTGTCAGGAGGCACAAGGCTGGGGAAGGTGACAGAAACACAGAGGAGAACCTTACAGAAGGACAACCATCTGTGCAGCAATCCACCAATCAGGCATCTGTATGGTAGAGCGGGCAGACGTAAGACACTCCCCGCCTGGAGTTTACCATGTGAAGGACTCTCAGAGCATCAGAAACTAAACTCTCTGCTCTGATGAGACTCAAACTGAACTGTTTGGAGAACAGCAGGAATCAGGCTAACAGCATCCCTACAGTGCAGCATGGTGGTGTCGGCATCATGCTGTGGGGATGTGTTTCAGCAGCAGGAACTGGAAGACTAGTCAGGATAGAGGGAAAGATGAATGCAGCGATGTACAGAGACATCCTGAATGAAGACCTGCACAAGAGTGCTCTCCACCTCAGACTGGGGCGACGCTTCATCTTGCAGCAGAACAACGACCCAAAGCACACCGCCAACATATCAATGGAGCGGCCCAGCCAGAGCCCAGACCTAAATCCTATTGAGCATCTCTGGAGAGATCTGAAAATGGCTGTACACCGTCACTTCTCATCCAACCTGATAGAGCTTGAGAGGTGCTGCAAAGAGGAACGGGCGAACATCCCCAAAGACAGCGGTGCAGAGCTCGAGCATCATATTCAGAAAGACTCGAGGCTGTAATCACTGCCAAAGGAGCATCAACAGAGTCTTGAGCAAAGCCTGTGAACACTGATGTACAGGTGATCTTACAGCTGCTTATTTTCAATAAATCTGCTGCAATTTCTAAAACTCTCTTCTCCACATGCTCATTATGGGGGATTGTGTGTAGAATGTTGAGGAAATAAAGGAATTCACTCCATGTTGGAATAAGGCTGTGACAGAAACTGAAGCGCTCTCCACACTTCACAGATGCTCTGTATATATTGGATAAAAAATGACTCCAGATCCCAGATTGCAGAAGAGGTGCGCTCTCACTTTGAGCTCTGTTGTTGAAATTGTGAAACTCACCCACTGCCCAACTGAGGAGCTCCATCCCACGATGCAGGACTCCAGCCAGGAGTGGGAGCGTATGTGTGCCCCCTTCAGGATGGTACAGCGCTTCACTCTCACCCCGTCCTCCAAAACCACCCCGGCTCCAATCGTCACATTTGGGCCAATGGTGCAGTTCTGCCCAATCACTGCTGTTGGGTCCTGGGTTACATTTATGGCATGTTTCATTATTTCAGTACAAGCATCAAATTCTGCAGTACAATATACATACTACTCAACATCTTAGAAGATTGTTGTTAACGTTTTTGCAGCCTCTAATAGTGTCCAGTAAAAACCTGCGGGCAATAACAATCCAGAGTCGTCTTCATGTTGTTAGACACATATCAGGCCTCATTCGTGAAACATGAGCATACTATATTTCTGTTAGAAGCTACAAAAGAAAGGTACAACAGCTCCCAATACCACACTTAGATGCTGCATAAACCATCTGTGTTTGTTCTGGTGAATATTTTACTACTCTGTTTTGTTTTGTCTGTCTCTGCATTGCTTTAACCGGGTAAAAGCTCAAATCACTGTCACTCTTTACCCAGCTGTCCAATCAGGGGAGGAGGATTGAGACTGAGCAACAAAGGAGAAGTCAATATTCCTGGTTAGTGCATTTTTATATTCAGTGATGCTCTTCAAAATAAGACACCTGTAATCCCGTAGTGCCATGGATTACAAATCCCAGCAAGCAATGCGTCTCTGCTGGGAAAAAACAACATGTACCACCACAGGTTTTCAAGAGACCCTGACATTTTGAACTTTAATTTGCACATTAACTGTATATTGTTTGGAATTATCAAACATGTTGGAGCCAAACCCTAGAAGGGAGTCCAGAACATTCCACTGCATATAAAGGTCCGCTAGGTCTAGGTCCGCTGCTACTCCGTTTGCACTGGCTGCCAGTTGCTGCTCGCATCAAATTCAAAGCTCTGATGTTTGCCTACAAAGTGACTTCTGGCCTTGCTCCTTCTTATCTGCTCTCACTTCTGCAGATCTATGTGCCCTCTAGAAACTTGCGTTCTGTGAATGAACGTCGCCTCGTGGTTCCATCCCAAAGAGGGAAGAAATCACTTTCCCGAACTCTCGCATTCAATCTGCCCAGTTGGTGGAATGAACTCCCTAACTGCATCAGAACAGCAGAGTCACTCGCTATTTTCAAGAAACGACTAAAAACTCAACTATTTAGTCTCCACTTCACTTCCTAATCTGCAATTGCCTCTTTGAATATACCACTAACTGCACAAAAAAAAAATACTAATACTACTAATACTTCCCTTCTTAGACTTTACAGACCTGAAACTTGCCTATAGCACTTATTCATTGTTGCTCTTAGTTGTGTAAATTGCTTCCTTGTCCTCATTTGTAAGTCGCTTTGGATAACAGCGTCTGCTAAATGACTAAATGTAAATGTAAAATGTAAAGTAGCTGTAATTTATAGATGAGATTCGGCCATGCTAGTTGTGTAAATGGGTACACGTGCACCATTTACACGAGGAACTGGAAGTCATTAACATAGATGTTTAATTACGTAATGTCATGTTTACACAGCAGGTGGCGCAGTGGCGCAGTAGGTAGTGCTGTCGCCTCACAGCTCTCAGGTCTCTGGTTTGAGTCTCGGCTGGGTCAGTTGGCGTTTCTGTGTGGAGTTTGCATGTGTGTGAAAGAGTGTGTGGGTGTTTCCCAGAGATGGGTTGTGCCTGAAAGAGGATCCACTGTGTAAAACATATGCTGGATAAGTAGGTGGTTCATTCCGCTGTGGTGACCCCAGATTAATAAAGAGACTAAGCAGAAAAGAAAAGGAATGTTTACACAGCATTTGTGAATCCAGAGAGTTCTCATGAAGGTCTGTTTTTATTTACTCCTAATCTTCAGTGTTTTATAGGCGAGAGGCTCATTGTCTGTCCATAGCGACAAGTATTTGTCACAGTAAATTTATTAGTATTTTTCTATTAAATAAAAGACTTGATTATATTAAAGTTGAACTAATTTTGAAAGGATTGACTACGACTGGTCCCGCATTAGCATTAGCACATGATTCACCAATCAGACCATTCCCAATTCACTATAAATAACCAGAGTTAACTTCACCTTGAAGAATCCCCCTTTCCACCTCTACTCCTCCCCCTTTTCCTAGATATGGCGACACGGTGGCCCAGTGGTTAGCACTGTTGCCTAACAGTAAGAATGTCACTGGTTCAAGTCCTTACCAGGCCAGCTGACATTTCTGTGTGGAGTTTACACGTTCTTCCTGTGCTCTTGACGGTTCCTTACCCCCATCCAAACACATGCGAGATAAGTGAATCGACTACAGTGAACCTAAATTGGCACCACAGATGAGCTCTTAGCCAGCAGTATATCTGTAGCAAACCCTAATTTGTCTTTAACAAATAAAAACAGGGGAGTTCTCCAGACCTACCTAAGCTCAAACTCCCCTCTCTCCCTGCAAAATGAGGGAGCCCCAGGCTCTAGAGTTGTATGAGCTCAGGGCTCTCTCCCGGGTCAGCATGCCAAACAAGCTTTATAATCAATCATCAGCTAAGAGTGAACTCCTGATAATACATAACCTGTGGAGAGGACGGAGTGAGAGTATTGTGCAGAGAGCAGAAAACAATGAGAAAAAGCTTCACACCACAAGAACATTTCCAAGAAAGCCGGGTCCAGCGCGGAGCCTCTCAGGGGCCTGCTGCCGTACAGATTGCAGGTACATGCACATGCCCGTCAGGAAGTCTTTAGGCTGACCAATGTCCATCCAGAAACCTAAATCACAGACAACTGACTTAGCAACTGACTGACTCCAACAATATAGATGTAAAGACACACACACACATTATGCAGAACTGATCCAACAGTCATTTATAGCACAGGATCAGTTTCGGTCACTCTTGCACAAGAAGAAATAAATTATTGAATAAAATAAAAGCTAAAACGGGAAATAGGAAATACAGATATAGAGAAACCTCTATACACTACAGAACCCATAGAGACTGAACAATGCCAGGCTTTATAATGTGTGTAATGCTCATATGATTATTTAGATGGGCTCAGTAAAATGATACCAAAGAACATTTAAAATAATAAATGAGGTAAATACAGCAATACATGCACTTATACTGTAGACAAGCAAGTACTGATGCATTTGTCTTAGAAGGGGTCATGAAATAGACGAGGTTACTCCAAATACAAAACTGCTTCCAGTGTCAAACTACACATGAATTATTGAATTAAGTTCACCAGTGTGATTTAGGAGATGAACAGTTCAGGGTTCTTCTCGACACACTTTTTAAATACCCTCATCCTCGTGTGAGTGTTAATAAATATAGATGCTGGGTTGTATATTTTACGTCATGCCAGAGGCAGCTGCATTGTATTCCTCCTTCAAATATTTCACTTTATTCATACACTGAAATACCACCAACTCACTGAGCATCAGTGGAACAGTGTTCAAATCCTTTACCTTGCAGCTCCATGGCATACAGCTGTCCCTCCTCTGCCATGACAGGAAATATTTCCTTCTCTATGGAAGTGGGTTGCAACTGAAAACAAAGTACAGACACAATGTGGGTATCAGCAAATGATAAAGCCAACGTGCATCCAATGAAGATCGAGTCAAAGCAGCTTCATATAGAGCAGGGATGTCAAACTCAATTCCTGGAGGGCCGCAGCTCTGCACAGTTTAGTTCCAACCCTAATTAAACACACCTGATCAAACTAATTGAGTCCTTCAGGCTTGTTTGAAACCTACAGGTAAGTGTGTTGGAGCAGGGTTGGAACTAAACTGTGCAGGGCTGCGGCCCTCCAGGAATTGAGTTTGACACCCCTGGATATCCCTGACATAGAGGATCATAGTGAATGTAAACAGTGCAGTTCAGAGTTTCAGTTCAGTTCAGTTCAGTTCAGTTCAGTGTGGTTTAATAATCATGCATGCGCAGCTCCACAGATGCAAGCCGGTGGCGACAGCGGCGAGGAACAAACTTCACCAGTTGACCAAGTGAAGTTGGACACGAGCATTCTCTTCTGGTCAAACTCCCAGTGTGAGCTGCAGTCTCCATTTAGAGCTTCACGCCAAAGGCTGTGAATACTGATGCTCATGTGATTTCACAGCTTTTTATTTGTATTAAATTTGCATCAATTTCAAAAACTCTCTTCACATTGTCATTATGGGGGATTGGGAATTTAATTCATTTTGGAATAAGGCTGTAACATAAGACAATGTAGTAAAAGTGAAGCGCTATCAAAGCTTTCCGTCTGCACTGTAAGTCCCACACTACTGCCGTGTAGGAGATGAGTCTGCCTCGGCTTACCTTCCACTGTAGATAGTGTGGTGATACTCATTTCCCAAAATGGCTGAATTATAGTAGAGAAGTCCACAACCTATTGTTTCTGCATTGATTGAGACGACCGCATCTTGAGCAAATGGTGAATGGGAATGAGGATGACAGAGAACCATCTCATACAATGCGGTGTCGAGACTGCATTATCAGCTGTGGCAGCAGCAGAGGAGCAACTTCATTCACATGTAACAGCGGTAAACAAGACAGCGTAAATCATTTGAGTTTAGGGGTTCATGTTCAGGGTTCATTGTGACTCGGCTGAGCAGAGTTCTGTCATGCACTGCTATCCTGGAGAAGTATCTTCATTGAGCTCATCATCAGCTTTTCTTACGGCTGTATGTCCACCAAAGTGTTTTTCCCCCAGAAGTAAAACCTTTTCCTTCTTTTCACCAGTTTTTAAGCACGCCACATGCTTTAGAGCCCAAGCAGTGTTCAGTGTTCATCTTTAAGATGGTGCATCTGCAAACTCAGTGTTTTCAGAAGAGCTCTGACATTCTCACCATGCAAACGGCAGCAATTATTCTACTGTAGTTTCACAAACGCTATTAGTTTGAATGTAGTGCTTGCTAGAAATGATCATTAAATTTATACAGTAGATACTGAAGATTCGTGATTCCCTTCGTCATAAACTACAGGCAGAATGACTGTACACAGCGATATTCACATCTGGATTGAAGCTGATGGGAGATGTACACTCTTAAAAGATCCAGTGCATGCAATAACGGTGATTTAAATGGCATTTGAGTCTTTGGCACTGACCTGGATTCTTCTCAGCATGGCAGGACTGAAGATGTACATCCCCGCATTGATTTTGTTGGAGACAAACACTTGCGGTTTCTCAACGAAGCGGTGTATTCGCCCGCTGTCCCCTTCATAAACCACCACACCATATTTAGACGGTTCTTCAACTTTTGTCACCTGAAACATCAGACACATGTGACGTTAGAAATGATCACATTATCATTTAAAAAGATCATTAAATAGATAAAAGGAAGTGTTATTCAGAGATGAAAGCTTAACTAAATTAAAAATATATATATATATCAAATAGAAAAATATATGTTCTATAAAGAGTGAATGTGCAGCTGAAGTCAGAATTATTCACCCCCTTAGACTTTTATCTTCTTGTTTAAATATTCTCCAGATGATGTTGAACAGATTGAGGAAATGTTCACAGTGTGTCTGATAATGTTTGTTCTTCTGGAGAAAGTCTGATTTGTTTTATTTGGGCTAGAATAAAAGCAGTTTTTAATAGTTTAAACAGCATTTTAAGCTCAATATTATTCGCCCCTTTAAGCTATATTTGTTTTGGATAGTCTACAGAACAAACCATCGTTATACAATAACTTGCCTAATTACCCTAACCTGCCTAGTTACCCTAATTACCCTAGTGAAGCCTTTACATGTCACTTTAAGCTGTATAGAAGTGTCTTGAAGAATATCTAGTCTAATATTATTTACTGTCATCATGACAAAGAGGAAATAAATCAGTTATTAGAGATGAGTTATTAACACTGTTATGATTAGACATGTGCTGGAGAAATCTGCTCTCCGCTACACAGAAATTAGGGAATAATAAACAGGGGGTGAATAATTCTGCCTCCAGCTGTATATGAATGAAAGTTAGTCTTGGTAATTTCTACGTGATGTTTTAAGAATATGAAGTCCCTCAGTGCTCGGCTGAAACTCTTCTTTCCCCCACTGTATGGGCATATTCAGACACAGAGTGCATTTCACACATGATTTGATGTTTCTAATAGAAAATAAATTGCTTACAACAATGGTGCCCTCTCTGCCGTGCTGCTGGTGGAACTTGAGCATGTCGTCGAAGGGGAAATCGCAGATGACATCACTATTGAGAACAAAAAAGGGCTCCTGGTTGTCGGTCAGCAGCTCACGAGCCAAAGCCAGAGGACCAGCTGAAAACAGAAACAGATTCAGAGTTCCACACTGCCTGACGACTGCGACACCACAGCAAGAGTCACCCACCGGTTCCTAGAGGCTCTTTTTCATGTGAGAGGGAGATCTTTATTCCAAGCTGTCAAAATCACAAATAAGATCGTGTTACTTTGTTATCAGGCATCCTCAAGACCATCAATGTAGGATTTATCTGCGTGACAGATCTTACCCTTTGCTCCTGGGCTCTCATCTCTCGCTCCAATAGCTCAGACATGTAACTCACAGCAAGGATGACATGACGGACTCCAGCCTGAACACAGAGGCACCGTTGGATGGTAATTATAAATGTAATTGCTTAGAAATAAAACATTGACTGTGTGAAAGACTGCCGTCAGTTACCTTGACCAAAGCCTCCACCTGATGCAGCAGAATGGGTTTGTTGCAGAACTCAACGAGTGGTTTGGGCACAGTGAGGGTGAGCGGCCGTAATCGTGTGCCATAGCCACCGACAAGAATCAGAGCTTTCATTGTAGGTCAGTATCTATTGCAGATGGGCCCGGGTGCAATCATCTGAGAAGCACCAAAAGAAACACTTAAACTCTCTGTACAGTATGACGGTGCAGAGTAACAGTACATTATTGAGGAAAAACAAAGAAGTTAGATGCAGAGGCGTCACTACACCCCATTTACTGGAGCACGAGCACCGCTCCTGCCTGACACTGCTCTGCTCGTCCCGCTCGTGAACATGCACACTGAGAAATAGCAGCGGGGAAAAACACACAACAGATCATTCTATAAAACATCTTTATTTAGTTTTCTATAGAAATGTCTGGAGAATTTTATTCAAGCGTAATTAATATTCATGCAAAAGAGTTCTTAAATTATCTCAGCATCACTCCAGCTGTGTCCAGTTACATTTAGGATTCATTTCTGTTATTTATTTAGTGTAAAAATTTTACAATAACCATAACACTGTACATTTTTTACATAACTGTATATATATATATAGGCCCGCAGCCAGGGCGGGTTTGGGGGGTTTGAAAGACCCACCCCCGTTCTGACATAGTCCAGAATTTGGCCCATATATCAGCTCATTTTTGACATTGTGCCATCCTCAATGGTGAAAATAACCAATAGAAGAAGACTTTAAGAAGAATAACCAATAAAGGACGGCTTTTATTATTTAAATGGACGAATTCTGACTGGGGGATGAGCTGGCCAGTGTGTTATTTGCCTGTGGGTTCAGTTCTTAATTTAAAGCCAGCTTTAACAGATTCACAGTTTTTTGTTGTTGTTTTTTATTTTTATGATGGATGATAATAAATTAGCATTTCAAATATGCATTTTTATATATTTCTAAAATCCTAATCTCATTACATTATATATAAAACTGTAACAACTTGTGCATAAACCATTTTTGTAAACAGAAAAACAAAACATGACAAACATGTGTGGTGATGATAACCATCCTGAGGCTAATCCAGCACAAAATAGTGCTTAAAATGTCACTGAAATGCAGTAATTAGACCTCAAATATCTGTAAAGATCTGAAACAAAGAGCCCTCGTTTAATAGGCTGACTACAAACCTGCTATACATTCATTCATTCATTTCCTCTTTGTTTTGTTTTAGGGGGAGCTGTGCCCCAGTAGAGCAAATAAAATGCAAGGTGAATGGTCTGAATACTTTTCATGCCCACTGTACAGAACACACACAACATCTACAAGGTACAAATCTGTCCCTCAGTGCACAGGAGTGTGTGTGGAGCACACAGCTGGCTGCTTTTTGGGAGGCCTACTTAATGACTATACATTCTTCTTTGGCCCAATATCTGTCATGTGTACAGAAATAATGCTGATATGAGATATGAAACAGCTGGCAGTTGGCAAATATATCGGGTGGAGATGTTTTTAAACCTGACAGTGCCTCACCAGCCACGACACGACACGACACATTCATTAAAATACTTTCTGCTTAGTATAACAACACACAGTCACAAAAACAGAGAGTACGCAAGAGAGTCACACCTACTGAGGTAAAGTTGGTTGTTTACCATGGTACTGTGAATGGTTGGTCAGTATTAGCATGCCGGTGTGACTTGAAAGCAACATGAACACTATCTAGTAGACTGATCAATGCTGTACTGTGATCATCAATAGCTGCTAATGTGATTTCACTATTATTAAGGTGGTTTTATCTTCACACATTCATTCAGTGACAATGTGTGACACACTCCCTATATTGTTTACCACGGCACTTTGAGTATCTGGTCTGAATTAACCTGCCAGTGTGACTTTAAACAACATGAACACTATCTAGTAGACTGATCAATGCTGTACTGTGATCATCAATAGCTGCTAATGTGGTTTCGCTATTCAGAATTTGAACAGAACACTGCTCTGACATTATATTATGAGGGAGAATGTCTGAATGTGAAAGGAGCTTTACCTCTTTGTGACACCTGTATGTCCTGCTAGGACACGCCCACACAGTACACCTGTAATACCTGAAAATCATGTCTTGTCCATCTTGTACAGAGTAAGACTGATATTTCATTTGTCAGATACTAACTAGCGTTAATTCTTGTTAAATTAATAGCAATAGTGTCGTGAAGTGCATTGTTCTGAACAGTATGAGCAGGTGGTTCCACCGATGAGCTTCATTCATCTCATTCATTCCAGTTGAAGGCGAAAATAACATGTTTTGTCATCACTTTGTAATTTAGACACAATTTATATTTGTCAACAATTAAATATTCATTAATAATAATCACATTCTTCATTGATCTGCTGAATAACTCCTATGGCAGATGACACACTAATAAACTTACCCAGCAAACGATTGACCTGCTGCTGTATTTATTTCGTCTGAATCACGGAGAAAGCTAGGCGTCGGTTCTGAACTTCTCTTCCACCAATAAACCGTGTTCACTGCTCGGTGTGTGCTCTGTCAGACAGCTTTAAAGACCCATCGCGCTCTACGAGAAACTCAGTTCAGTTCCGCACACAGAGGACGGCGGATCCAGCAGTGACGTCATAGGTCAACAGTCTGTACCAGTATGTGGAGGCGTCCTCAGATCTTCGCTTTACAGTGATGTTGATTCCACACTGTCCTAAAGTAAAGTGCATGATTGAGAATCAGTTTATGCTGTGATACTTCACGACAGGGTTTTTTATAACGCCAGGCGCACACAAAATAATGGATAAAGAGCCATTGTGGGTATGGCCTCCCCCGTTAAAATAACACAGCCAGCCTCACGGACCAATCGTTTCATAACAACGTGGCGCGGAAGTGAATAAGAGCCGCAACACCCATTTCACACGAAGAGTCGTCAGCAGCAGCGGCGCAGGAAGAGGGATGGACATCTGTCAGAGTGACATGAGTCACGATTCTGAATTAAATCATGCAAATGATGATTAATGTCATCTTGTCTCCTGACATTATCCCCTAACCCTGAGTCCCAGAAGACCTGTTCAGTAAACGGTTGCGTTTCTGTTCTCAACCATTTCATCAATGAGAATAAATACAAATGTCTACTATATTTTTCTGGAGCTCAGTCCCTGATTTATCAGAGGTCACCACAGCAGAATGAACCTCTAACTACTCTACAACTTGCTCCTGACAGGGATGAAGGAAGAGGAGAAAGCTAATGTGTCAAATGTCTAAATCACTGTATTTAAAAACTAAATTAACAATATTTTAAGTGTATTAAGATGTTCCCTGATACTTGGGCAATTTGTTTCTATTGTTTGCAACTATATATATATATATATATATATATATATATATATATATATATATATATAGTTGCAAACAATAGAAACAAATTGCCCGAGTATCAGGGAACATCTTAATACACTTTTCTATGTTTTTTGTTTTTTATTATTATAATTATTTTAATGATTATTGAAAATGTTTCAGATGTTTCTTCACAATCCGGCAGTTCTTTTTAGTTTTGACGTGTGTATTTTAGGTATTGTCTGGTATTTGTCACATCACGCTTCACGGAGCCCATTACTAACCAACATCAGTGTTAGGAAGAAGCTAAATGTTACAATCTAATGTTATTTAAAAAGTGTTTAGATTTATTTGAAGGCATTAGAGCAGCCAGAAAAATACCTAAATATAATACCTAAACTCAGTTATTACTGTGAAATTGGTTACATTTTGAGAAACTCAATAGGCTATATAACCTTTTCATCATGGTAAAAGTAAAACAATAAAGTGTCAGGCTTTCATAAGTGAGGTTTTTCTGTGATATTGTCCGGTTGGCATTTATAAACCCTCATAAACCATCAGGCTACAAGGCCTACCTGTCATTACATTTACTTATTTATGAAGCCTATTTTAATCACTTTTCCAGGTTATTTTCATTTGTAGGGCCGTGAGCTACAAATCAAACTCGATATGCTGACTGTATTTAGCTCTTAAATAGATCTGCAATATGTTTTCTAGTGTTTAATTCTGCATGAACAAACAGCAGTATCGCCTAAATGACATAATTATAAAAGATCCTCATTCAGCCTGCCTGCAGCACATGCGAGAGCAGGATCCACTTAGACTGTAACCTTGACTCAGCAGGCCGATCATTTAAACACAAGAGGCATTATTATCTGTCCTAACTCAACTACACTGCTGCTGCATTATGGGATGTTTCTCTACACAACTGTAAAAGTGTGCTTTAGCATGTCAAAATGAAAGCAAACACTCAAACGGGTTCCGCGTTTCGTCAATTAGCCTCATTTTAATAATATTAATGAATATAATCAATTAAAACCTTTATTATAGTGTAGATTACTGTGGGACTGTGCAGAGACTAAACATTTTATTCAGCTTCATATGCCCTGACTGAAACACTAATGTGCAGATGGCAGTTGTGTGTTTGCTCAAATTAAAGTAACGGCAGGTTTCTTCTGTGTTTTTCCCTTTACAGCTCAGAGAGTTGTGTTTACAGAGTGATTTAACCAGAACATGTAATGAGTTATGCTGCTCGCATCATGTCATACGCTAGTCCAGGTGTGAGTCGAGTGCGCCTCCATCACCGTGTGCATGTTTATACGGGCGCACCTGACCTGCGGGGACCGGATCTCTGGACTGTAGGTCTAGCTTTAATCTCACAATTTTCATCCTTTAATTGCGATTTCATATTTTACAGTATCTCATGTGTGTTCTGAATGCTGGATTGACAGGACTGTTAGTAATTAATGACTGAAAGAGTTTTCAGTTTTGAGTGAACAATCCTTTATGAAAACTGGGGGGGCACATTCTGTCTGAGGGGGCAATGCCCCGCTTTGATTTCAGCTCCAACCCTAATCAGACACACCTGAACAAGCTAATCAAGCGCTTACTCGGTATACCTGAAACATTCAGGCAGGTGTGTTGAGGCAAGTTGGAGCTAAACCCTGCAGAGACTCCGGCCCTCCAGAACCGAGATTGGTGACCCCTGACCTAGAGTGTGACATCATCACCTCTGTAAAAGACTCTTCTTGAAGTCAGGTGTTACGGGAGAAGATGCAGGTCTTCTGGTGCCACGCCCAGCTTGTCCAAGGATTCGGTCTAGTTATCCCATTCCCTCGAAAATCCTCAGACTCAAACTGATTCTCTCTCATCAACTAACTTCAGCAACGATCAACGAGACCAGCGGGGTCTAATCCTGGTCCTGGAGGGCCGGAGTCCTGTAGAGTTTAGCTCCAACCCCAATCAGACACACCTGGGCTAGCTAATCAAGCTCTCACGAGGCTCTCTAGAATCAGGTGTGTTGAGGCAAGCTGGAGCTAAACTGTGCAGGACCGAGTGCGGACACCCCTGAACCAGATCCTTCAACAAACTCCCCCAGAGCGCTGGTTCAGTATGAGAGCGGCGTCTTTAACAGGAACACCTGTAATGAAATGCTTTGCGTTATTAGATGTTTCCCTCAGGCTGTACAGGAGAGCGTTGTCTGACATTAGTGCCCTTTAAGTGAATGTGTACTGCTGATCTACATATTATAATCAGTTACAGCTCATTATTAAGATTCCCTCTGAGCTAATGTCAGCAGAGCGGCGAGCTGTCCTTAATCTCCTCCTCAGTTCTGTTTAAAGTTCTGCTTTGACTGTTCTTCATCCGCTCAAGACAACAACACACACATGAAGGAGACGAGGCGACTCTGTAAATAAACAATTTATAATTCACATTCAAAGATGTCATATATATATATACTGTTTTTCTTAAAAAAATACTCATCCATGCAACAACAATAAAGGGAAAAGGACTTTCAGGGTGAGGGACACATCACTGTCTGTCTGCCAGATCTCTGTCCTCCTTCATGCTTGAGCACAAATGAAATGTTCATCAACACAGACCGGCGACAGGTAATGAAGCACGGCAGCGTGTGGGAATATGATTCCTAAACTGTGTTTCTAGTACAGTGCTTATTTATTTATTGTGAGAGAACAGATCACACACACGGTGACGGTAGTTCTTCCCGGACACAGTACAGAAATGATGGACCAGATGAGGAGGAACATTAATATAAGCAACACGCTGGACACCCCAGTTATGGCTATTGACCACTATCACACGACTAAATACAGACACGTCCCTACAGCACAACTCCGTGAAGAGGGCATATTTAATAGTGTAGCTTTATTTATACACACGTGATCGGTCAGGAAATGTAGGATTGACTGAAGTTATCTGCCGGTACAGGTGGCGCTCGTGTCTGTTTCCCAGAGACCGCAGCAGAAGTGTCCTCGGTCCAGCTAAAGGACGACACTACAGTGCAGGAAATGATCCACTTAGACAAACCACATGCTGAAGGTGTCATCATGAGGAGACATTCTGAACTCCACGGCTGACAGGACTCACGACGACAAACTCAGGGACACGGTTTGCTACATTTGCTGATGGCGAGGGCGAAACGTCACTGTGAATATCGGTGTAATTAAAGACAAGCCTTCAAAACAACAGCAAAAACCAAACCCAAATGAAACCCATGCGCGTGTAGTGTGATATAGAACAATTTACAGTGTAAAACACAAGTCTTCTTATGTATATATATTCTGAACAAAAACACCAGGGATTTACTGGGAAAGCAAACACTCTGCAATGTTAAGACCTGCTTTCCTCTTCTGCTTTCGTTTTTTTGAATTTGCATTGATAAACAGGTGAATATACTGAAAGTCCTCAGTGAGTGGTCTGAACACCTTCCTCACATTTGCTTTTCTATCATGTCGTAGCGCACGGTTAACTTTTAAAAGATTTAAATAAATAAAAGTACAGCTCTTTCAAAACGAGAAATCAAGAGTTTTACTGAAAAACACTCAGTAACATGAGGATCCTGCAAATCCACAACCATCATTCTCCCGCCATTACACCTGCCGCTGCTACACCTTCAGTGTACGGTTAACAAAATAAAGGTGATGATCGCTCGAAATGTACACGGCTACTGACAACAGCAACTATAAAAACCCTATCTGACCTGTTCAATAGGCTGTGAATGAAACTATTGCCATAAGCAGGACTCTTCATCACGTCATCAGAGCGGTTCATAATCTCCTGTAAATGCCCTCGACTCCCTCAATAAAGCGTCAAGCAGAGCTCAACTGCTCCCTCTATAGTCCTGGAGAAACACAACCGCTCATATCTCACACTCATTCAAACAACACATTCACCACAGTGTGTGTGCGCGCGTGTGTGTGTGTGTGTGTGTGTGTGTGTGTTTCTATACATTTATAGCTAAAAACAGATTTCTGGGTGATTTTGACATTGTTTCTATAAATATCTTCCTAAAGAATGATTCAGGACAGAACTTTGTCATTTAATGGAAAGCAGTCCAGTGTGTGTGGAAAGATTTCCTAATAACTGTTAGATTTTGGGTTTTATGTTCAACGTGCCATAAAATGGCATCACAAGACTTCATTAAACAGGTTGGGTTTATGACATAAACGCAGATATTTTACTTTTGAATTGTGGGGTGAAATATGATTAGGACATTTCTCACACACACACACACTCACACACACACACACACTCACACACACACACACACACACTCACACGCACACACACACACACACGCACACGCACACACACGCACGCACGCACGCACGCGCACACACACACACACACACACACACACACACACACACACACACACACACACACACACACACACACACACACACACCTTTTCTTTGTCTCGCAATCCTGCACTCTAGGAGAGACCCGTCAGTGGACATGCCCTGAGTTCATGGTTCCTGACTGCAGTACTTCAGTTGACCACATGGTGGCGATGAATCCATGTGACAAACTAACTACACCAGCTTGTTTTGGGGGAGCCATTTCTTCCAGGAACCTTCATAGAGGTCACCTCCATTTTTTTTTGTGTGTGCAAATGAAACCACTTACGGTTCACATACACACTGAAACACACACACCTTCAGACTGGTGTAAATGTGCAATCTTTACAAACATCTTTGTTTTCTATGAAAGAGTCTCGGAGAAATGTGTCTGGCGATGCGTTCAGCTACTGGTTCTCCTCACGGATTTCCTGCAAAATGTTGATGAGGCTCTCCAATCCAAATACGTAGCCGCGGTCGGGTCCGTCGTGGACAGTTTGGTCATCCCGAAATCCTTTAAAGGTGCTATGGGCGAAGTCTATCATGCGCACATCCACGTTCAGCACCTGTGGAGGCGTGTGGAGCTCCGAGGCTGCTGGGTTTTCCGAAGATGTGGCCTGATTTTCCTTTGCTGATGGCAGTTCGGAGGGTTTCTGCCAGCTATCCGCAGACTCGGGGTCTTTGCCCTCATATATGATGAGCAGCGAGCTGGAGTAGAAGCGGTATGAGGCCTGGCGCTCCAGCACAGCCTTCAGGCTGCAGAGTTTGCTCAGGACTGGCTCAAACAGGTCTTTGCGCAGTAGAGTCCCGTTGTGCATGAACTGAAAGAGCGCTTGACGAAATCCATCAATGGACAGACTCCGGCCATAGTATTTATTCCTGCATAGATAATGACCTGTGTCCATCTGGTACACCTGCAGAATCAACAAGAGGTGAGGAGAGATCAATTGCAGCAAAACTGTGTCTTTACAACATACCTTGGACCACAAAACCAGTCACAAGTCCAATTGAAGATTCCTGTATTGTCTAAAAGCTGGACGAATAAGATTTGCACTGATATATTTGAAGCCATTCGCCCCGCTTTGATTTTGATTTATAATTATTTCCTTAATGATGTAGAACAGATTGAGGAAATGTTCACAGTGTGTCTGATAATGTTTGTTCTTCTGGAGAAAGTCTGATTTGTTTTATTTGGGCTAGAATAAAAGCAGTTTTTAATAGTTTAAACAGCATTTTAAGCTCAATATTATTCGCCCCTTTAAGCTATATTTGTTTTGGATAGTCTACAGAACAAACCATCGTTATACAATAACTTGCCTAATTACCCTAACCTGCCTAGTTACCCTAATTACCCTAGTGAAGCCTTTACATGTCACTTTAAGCTGTATAGAAGTGTCTTGAAGAATATCTAGTCTAATATTATTTACTGTCATCATGACAAAGAGGAAATAAATCAGTTATTAGAGATGAGTTATTAACACTAGTATGATTAGACATGTGCTGGAGAAATCTGCTCTCTGATACACAGAAACTGGGGAATAATAAACAGGGGGTGAATAATTCTGCTTCAGCTGTATATTTGTTATGAGTGGACAATATTTGGCACAGAAGCATCTATTTGCGTATCTGAAGCTTTCAGGGTTCTTAAAATCGAAATACTAATAAAAGTTTTGTCTTTAAAGTTGTTCCAATAAAGTTCTTGACAAAACATTTTATTAATCTTGACAGATTTATGGAAGGAAATATTCAACACATCTTCATGAAGCATGCATATCTAAAGCAGACCAGTGCATCAGAAGAGTCGTATATATTCCTAACAACAGCTTTCTGTTCTTCATCATGAACACAGCAGGGCTTGACATGAACCACTCTGACCAGCAGCCTCTGTGGCTAGTAGATTCCCAACATTACTAGCCTCTCACCGTTTTCACTAGCCACACTGGAAAATATATTGTATATGCATAAAATTCTGTGTTTGATTAGGGCGTTTAACACATTTTACATCTACATCACACAGCCTAGACCAGGGCTGCTCAACCCTGTTCCTGGAGATCACCTTCCTGCAGATCAGCTCCAACCCTGATCCAACACACCTGCCTGCAATGATCAAGAGCGGTTCAGGTGCTGGGTAATTAGTTCAGGTGTGTTTGATCAGGGTTGGAGCTGAACTCTGCAGGAAGGTAGATCTGCAGGAACAGGTCTGATCACCCCTGGCCTAGACTAAGGTATACGGTTTCACTGAAAGGCTCAGCAGGCAAAGCCATACACACCTGCATCCCGCACACTCGAACTCCTAATGTGGCAGATGTGCTCTGCTCGCACTTCTTCATCTGACGAGCAGCTTTTTCCTCGGAGGCATCGTCCCCATGCTGCCGGGTGCCCATCTTCAAGTCCAGGATGCAGGGGTATTTGAAGTGATGGACCACATTTTCCAGCAGCAGAAATTCTGGTGGTGGTCTTGAGTCAAGGGTCAGAACATGAACACATAACGAAGACGCACAGATGTACCGAGTATATCTATATTTACCCAGCCAAGCTACGCAAAGTACAATCTCTAACAGTGACGGTACACATAAACATGACAACTCTGTCATCATCTACTCACCCTTCATTTGATCAAAAGCTGACTGAGTTTCATTCTTCTTATACACGCAAGACAATGTTTAGAATAGGGAGGTGGATGAGTGCCAGCAACCAGCATTCTGCAGAATATTCTTAATGTGTATTCAGAAACAAAACCACATGAGGACATTTAGATTTTTGGGTGAACTGTCCCTCGAGCTGCCAAGTTTAAGTGTAATTACGTACTTGTCCAGTCAGTATAATTAGGTTTGCTTCAAAGTGACCTACAACAAATGATTGCTTATCAGCTTTTGAAGTATGTAGCCCTGACTAATACTAGTGTTGTATACAGTGCTTAACCGTTGTGTTGTGCATTAAAAAGCATTGGATGCAGCTCAGACTGCACTGCACCAGGACTGCATCCAGACCCCTCTCATTTAAACTGCTTGTCATGATATCAAAACTGCTCTCTATCGACTCGATGCTTTTCCCCTTTCCAAAAGTAAATGAATAACAGATAGAGCGGAGGAGGAGGATACTGTAGAGTTTCCTGTCTTTAGACTCAGAGCGCATTCGGCTGAGCTGTTGCTTATGGCAGCGAAGACTCCAAGGATTGTGGCTGATCTTTTCTGAGCTCAGGCCGCTGTTGCTGTCAAGCATCTGAAAGGGAACATCTGAATGCAACTGTAGATCCAGAAGAGGGCTCTTCAGCTCCTGCAGACTACACAGACACAGTAGAAGCAAAAGTGTGCCACTTCAGAAGGTTTCACTGCTTAGATGTAATGTATTTTACATGGGAAGAATATTTTACAGCTGGGAGATGAGTTTCACACAGATTTACAGTTGGGACAGAATTGAAAACGCAAATAAAACAATTAAAAAGCTGAACAACCGTGACCTCCGACCCCTCAGGGGGCGCTGCATCAAGAGTCCTCATTCATCTATAAGCAGATCAGCACATGGGCTCAGCACTACTGTGCTAAACCTGTGACAAGCAGCACAATACAGAGTCACATCCACAAACACCAGTCAACACTGCACTGTGCCAAGAGGAAGCCCTATGTTAACAGTGTCCAGAAGTGCTTCTCTGGGCTCAGAGGCGTCTGGGATGGAGCATCACACACAGGAGACGTGTCCTGTGCTCAGATGACTCGGTGTTTCAGCTGTTTTGGGTGAAATTTACAAAAGAAGAAAAGGATCATCCAGCAACATGTTCAAAAGCCAGGCTCCGGCATGGTCTGGGGTTGTGTCAGCGCTCTTGGTAAATGCTTTACTGTTCCAACTTTGTTTGAAATCTGTTGCAAGAACCAACATTGGAATATGTGTTTATTAAAAAATAATAATAATACAAAACATGAGGAACACATCAAATAGCGTGCTGCTGTACTGTCTGCAGTCAAATACCAGTTCTTTTATTTGCGTTTTCCACACTGTCCCAACATTGTCTGATTTTGGGTTGCACTTGGTAATGAAGAGCATTATTAAGAGATGATTCTCTACGGTGATCAGCTGTACTGAGCAATTCTCATGGCCAAGCAGACAGATCCCCAACATATTAACTGAGCTAAGATCAACACTGATACTTAATGCATCTGTTGAGAGGAAGCTATTCACTGAATGTTTCCATTTATCATAACTGGGGAAACCTTAAAGCTCAAGTGACCCAAAAGCTGGATTTACTTCACTGTGTTGTTTATAGTTCCAGTATTGAATCGGGGACAGCTTTCTTTTGAGCATCCTTCTCTCATTGTCTAATGTTAAAGGGGTGAGGTTGAGAATTTTACTATACAGTTGCTACTGAAGCCCTCAGGCTGACGTCAACAGAAGGTCCTCACTCCACACATGAAAGCAAAGGTCAGCATCTTCACTCAGTGTATTTTCTTGCACAGATTAATTGTTCACTTTTTTCACGCAGACTTTAAGGTCATAGTGCGCTTTATTACAGACTCACATATATGTGTATCAGCTGTTTGCAGGAAATACATCATTAATGTGTAAGTAAAGTTCAAACTGAATCAGGCGGCTGATCAATCCTCTGACAGGAGTCCACATATAGCTGCACAGGTACTAACAGGTAGTCATTACTGTCAGAATAATCGTGCTACCTTTACGACTTTCTCTTCCAGAATTTGACATTTATTTTTAGAAACTCTTTAGAGATTTCAGGAAAAGACCACAATCTCCTTCTTTCTTACATACTTTTTGCTTTGTGCATGCAGCAAACCTTGAGAAATGAAGGGTTTGTCTGTCTTACTTTCTCTGCCTTTGGGTTGTGGGGTATACTGAAACACACAGCTCACTCACTTGTCATTGCCATCGCTGTCATGAGCATGTCTGTCCTCTTTGTGCTCACTACTGGAGCGGTGGAGGCTACGTCGAGAATGTTTCCGGCGAGGCTGATCTCTCTCAGACAGTTCTTCATGGTCCAGCCCTTCGCTCTCTTCATACGGATATGCCACCAGATTGATGTAGCCATCAGAGTCCCCTTCGAAACACACCAGCACCACACCTGCAACACAAACATGTCAACTCACTACTGTGATCTGCTGTAAGAGCCCCATTATACATTATAACGGCTCATGGTTTGGTTTGGGGGTCTCTAACAACAGGCTGATCTTTCATTGTCTTATGATCTGTATTTATTTGAGCTGATTACCCCCGCGACTCCCATATGACTCCTTCAGCCAGTCATTTGTTCCCAAACCCTAACTGTGCTGATTGGTCTGATGACCACGTCTGCTGTGATTGGTCGACTGTGTTCAGCACGAGACAGAGAGAAATGCCCACCACAGCTTATGAACATTGTGTGTGTGTGTGTGTGTGTGTGTGTGCGCTCAATGCAGGAGTGCATTAAAGCAATGCGGTTAAACACCAGCATATCGCTCTATACCTAACCGTAAGTAAAGCAGTGACACACACATTCAGTATTAATCCACACAGCGGAAAGAGCTGAACTATTGTGAACCTTGACCACCGCACGTGTGTAGGAACAGCTGACGGTGGCCATAGCAATGACAAACGGCAGGGGAACGTGAGCTCACAAACACATTTAAACTCGTAAGCAAAGCAGCACGCGTCACGTTTTCAACATGGTTAAAGAATCCATATTCTATATTCTTTAGCAGGAGTAAACCAGAGACTCTACACCTGATTACAAGCAACAATTAAATACAGAATTTACAAGCGGGAGAAAACAAGGAAAAAAAATCCTCTCCAAAAATGTAACTGCACGTCACAACGACGCGTAGCACAAGCTCTGTGATTGGTCGGCTTGGTAGCGCTGAGGAGTCTGGGCGGGACAGAGAGCCGCGCGAATGGCGCGAGCCTGATGGAGCGATTGTTGACAAGTGTGGAGTCCCGTGAAGGAGCTCCGGATGGAAAGTTTTGTTTTGTGTTTACCTCATAGTTAAAGTTGTTGCACGTCCGCCGGTTCCTGCCTCAAAATGAGCGAGTTTGAGTCACTTGTACATCCAGGAAGTGTTCAGGAAAGCAAAACAACAGCAAAGAAACTCGACACAGAGGAACATTTACACCTCACTGCCCACTAGTGTTTCAGAAGTGTTAATGCAGACCAACAGAGACAGCAGCAGAAGTATAAATGCACAGCTACACGCGTTGCCTGTGCCGTGAGTTACGTCGGTCACCTGACGCAGAAGTATAAACCAGGCTTTACACTTGTGAAATGGAGGAAGAAACTGATCCATGAGCTGTGTACTGATAAAGTCCCTGTCGAGCTCTGATAAAGTCTCACACATCAATAGTCTTTTCTGATCCTTCCTTTAACAAGCGGCCGACGAATCCCCCGTTGTAAGCGTGTAGATTGCTGAAGCACTCGTCAGAGGAATGAGGTTAACACAGCACAAGGCTGGGCGATAAAGCTGAGGTGTTTCTGCAGAAATAAACCCCACCACTGACTCTTCACAGCCTCATCTTTGGGTAGAGAAACACTCACTGTCCCCTCACACTTCAGAGCTCAGCATCAACGCCACACGACTCAACCGGCGTCTGCTACAGGGCTTGCGTGTGGAGTCAGGGGTTCCGTATCGGCGTAACGCCGGCATGGCTAAAGACTCGTTACAGCGGCGATTCATTCAAACCACTATGAGTCGACTCTTTTCTAGATGAATCAATAGTTTCTCTTTCAGATTTAAGCCTGAGCTGGATATTTCACTTCTCTCAGAGCTGTGTTACACACTGCATGAAGATCATTCTCAAAAACCCAGAATAGGAGCTCTTTAAAAACCTTGAACAAAAGCTTTAAAGGATGACGTGTTTTCGATAAAAGACTCCACTCATTCAGGGTTTTGGATAGTAATGCAGACGCAACCAGCTTTTGAATAGTAAATACTAATGAAACAGAAGTGATGATGT